TCGCAATTTCTGACAAACTTATTATTTTGAGTTGTGACTCTTTTGAAGACGGCGTGCGATATGTATGTACATATGAATGTATTTATACTCATAAGCATTTGTATGCTTGTACAACCCGCTCAATTGCTTAATTAAGACCTGTAAAATTCTGCAGCTGACTGTTATCACTGTTTGATGAATCTGTATGTAGTTTGCTTGCCCAATGGATATGTATGCATAGTCAAATAGTTTCTTTAAAATAAAATATGACTCTATTGTTAGTATGATAACACTTGTAAAATATTTTCAGAATTTTTAAAAACTTGAACATTAGTTTTTATGTTCATATGTATATATAAACTTATGTAAGTACGTATAAATCTGTTCAAGGTCAAAAGAGTAACTTCGACTTTTAATGGCCGCAAGTGCCTTCATGTGCATTTTTTAATATGCAAGTTATTTATTTTACTTTCTTACACATTTTCCCACGTTGCCTTGCTTTGTATGTTTCTACTTGGCATTGGGCTTATTGCTTGGTTTTTGCGGCAAATCAAAAGCGGTTATCGCTAACGCCTGCAACCCACGCATTATTGTCTTCTATGTACTGGGCTCATGATACCTATGCACTTTGTAGCATATTCAAATCCTTAATACAAACACTTTTTAGATTTTTTGCATATTTATGTACATACATACATATGTTTGAGATAGTCCTCTTTTTAACCTTAAATCTCTGGTATGCCCCAAGGCGTTTTGGTTCCACACATCCCACTTGCATTTTTAATCAGCACGCTGTGCACTTAGCCGTTTGTGCAGTCGCTACTTCGCGCGTACCGTTGAGTTGCGGGCAGATATTGCAGAGGTTTGATGCTGGAAGAATTATGTACATATATGTATGTATCCATAGATAGATACATATGTGAAAAATTAAGCTCCGCAAATAATCATTATTTTTAACAATTCCCCCAAGAAGCTGATCCTCCAAAAAGTTCAGCAAGCATTAGGAGTACACCAACATAATTCCAGTTAGACGAACTACTTTTTGTTTAAGTTATATTGAAAAAGTCAACTGTTAAAATTATTCTGTGAGTTTTATTTATTGAGCGAAAAATATAAACATGTAAAATTTACAAAATTTTATTTTATACAATCTTAAAAGAATTTATGTAATTTTCAAAATTGATCATGCTCTAAAATAAAAATGTTAGTAGTATGAACAATTCCACATACCCTACCCTGCAGGAAAAGTTTCTAACTATAAGTTAACTTGAAGTTGATTAGGAAGGAACCAAAGGTCACTGTGATCTATATATTTTCTTTGAGTAAAGCTAACTATATTTTCTACGATGATGGCCGAAATAGTCAAGGGTGGTTACTTCTGCATTAGATGTCAACTAACTTGTAACTAGTCTGCACAAAATTTAGGGACAGTCTGGCAAAGCACTAGTTCTGCCCTACAAATTTCAGAACTGTCTCTGAACTACTGAAAAAGGGATGCGGAGTTGGACGTTTAAAACTCATATGTTGCTAGTTGCGCTGTCATCAATGTTACTCATTACTGGTCATGTGGAAGCTGACAAAAGATGCAGAAATGTAATATAATATATTTTTTTGTTTTTCTTAGACCCTAAACCTAATAACGAACTATTTTCGTTTATTTAATATGTAACTCTCTACATAGTTTATGGGCAACTGCTACAATATTTCCAAAAAAGTCGTTATTGGTAAACTTATTGTTATTTTTATACATATCTACGTACGCATAAAATTGAATGCAAAATATAAAATTTATTTAAGCTACACTTTAATGCAAAGGTCTACGTACACCATTTCTTTTGAAAATATTCACAATATATTGAGAGTTAAAAATTTTTATTATTTAAATGATCATGCTTAAAATAAAATCATATAAACCGTGTTTTAAAACTTTATACAAAACAAAGTTAAATTTAACGATTTTCCATCAAAATGTTTGACCTTTTAATCAGATAAAAAAAAAAAACAATAAACAAAAGTGGTAAACAATCTCCCTTTGAAATGGGAGTGCTATTAATATGAACGATACTGGACACACGTAAATATATCACTGAGCACCCGAAATGTGTAGTTATGCAGTGATTTTTTTTTTTAATTTCCAATGTTTTTAATTTTAAATATTTTTCCTTAAGTTTTTATTTAAGAACCATTTAAACTCGAATTCCTAACTGTGCTGCTAACTTGGTAGAACTCTAAAAACTGTCTTCAAAATTTCAAAATTTTTAATCAGAGATATTTTTTATAAATATTTCGAGTATTCTGCTTTGTGTCCCATCAAATTTTAGTACAGTAAAGTGTAATCTTGCATCTTCAACGAAAATATTTAAATAGGAGAATACCTTCAAGAGCGTGCGTAAAAAGAGTTACAAAAAATCAGCGCGATTAATTATACTAAAATGTAATGGGCTATAGAACCGCATACTTTTAAACTCTGATTTAAAATATTGAAGTTTTTGTAACAGTTTCTAGAATTCTACTTAATTTCCAACAAAGTTAGAACGTTAATTTACTTGCTTATGTCATAATACTTATGAGCCATCCTTAATTAGAAAATTTACGAAAAATATTTAGCACGAAAATCTTTGTGAATATTCAAAATTCTATATTTCTTATTAGATGCCGGAGAGTCTATGTATTACATTTCAATACATTTAATAAAATTTAATGCTGAGTTATTTTATAACTACAAGTTGGTTTCTTTTTATCAATTTATAATTTTTTCCTGCAGGGTAAAGACTGACACTTTTTTAAAAATTTATATTTAACATATTCCGTTAGGCTGCAAAGGTTACTATGGATGCCTATTCTGACAAATTTTATTCTGACGAGTTCGTCGAAAAAAAAATACTTGTAATGTGAGTGGTTTCTTTGGATCCGAATTGTTCGTCAGAACACTCAAAATGCTGTCAAAATAATTAAACATTCAAATGAGTTAGATTTTTTCTTGCGTCCTGTCGATGAATTTAAAGCTGCTTAGGCTTTGTCTCATGGATACCAATTCCTACCCTTGAATTTGATAACACGAGTTTTTTGGGGTACGAATGATACAAACTATCGCCAAAAATCATTCTCAGAAGAAAAACTATTGAGCACCAACTAAGGTGTTACATACATACATAGATGTTACATTAATTACGTATTATCATTGGTAGATAAAGCACAATATTCGTCAATGGCAGCAGTACGCAACCTTCTGAACAAAAGTTCGTCAGATGGCATTCATAGTAATCGTAGCCTTAGTTTGCTTTCAAATAAAACCCAAAAAATCAAAGCAAAATTTCAAATAGAGACTTTCGAATAGAAGATTACGAAATATAGGAATAGTAGACAATTTTTATTTACATTCATACGTACATATGTATACTAGCGATCAAAACCTAGAGACTGGTATTTTTTTTAATTTTCACAATACTTTTCAAGCGAAAATTTTTGTGTTATCTTTTTAAGAAAATATTGTTCATGCTATGTATAAACACAACCATATTAATGAATGTTTCAAACATCCTGCAAAGTGTAGGAAGTTTCAAAAAATGTTCGTCCAATTTCAGACTTTTTGAATTGAATTTTTACAATATTTTTGGGTATGCAAATCAATTGCGGTGTAGTGGTAAGCAGTGCGCGCTTCCACTCCGTAGCACCTGGGCTCAAGCCGTGGTCAAAGCAACATCGCAAAAAATGTAGAAAAAAGGCTTTTTGTTAACAGCGGTCGCCTCTTGGCAAAACAGCTTCTCATAAAAATACAATCACCATTCGGAGTCGGCGTAAAACTGTAGGCCCCTCCACTTTGTGTGGTGTGACAACATTATAGGAGGAGAAGCTCGGCCAAACATTAACATATTTGTAAGCGCCAATTTCTTATTATTCTTATTAATTATGTATGTATATTGCTCATACAATTTTATTCTAAAAAGTCTATAGTATGTTTGAAGCTGAGAAGAATTTGTTCGTTTTTTTGTTTTTGCTCTCTTTGCATCTACGTCGCGACGGAAAATAAGAACGAAACATTCAAAGATCTCTTTTATGAGTGCTGGAGCGCACATACGAGCCCTGCCACCGTTACAATATAGAAACTGTTTTTGGCGATTTCAATGGCAGAGTGGGCAAGTAGGGGATATTTGCTCCCACTGTCAGAAAATTTAACCACGACGAAACGTCCGATAACGATGAGACTGATCGACTTCGCCGGGGCCCGGAACATCTATTGCTTTTTCTCCTTTTGTTGATCCTCGGCATTTGTATTTGTGCACGCCAAATTTTAAACGTTTAATTTGCTTGGGGTAAAATTTAATAAAAATTACAATTGAAATAAATCTGCGCACTTTTCAAAGTAATGACATGTCCTACTCTACATTATTTACATTATATTTAAAACAGAATTTTGTAATTCAGTATTTTGAAAAGCAGAATTCTGTGTTCCGAATTTTTAGTACCAGAACTTCTCATTCATGGGTTAGCACCTAAACGTAAGGTCAGATGAGAGCTAACAGGGCATTGAGGAAACGGCCTTTAAGAGCTTAGTGCCTATTAAAATATTTATTGTAGAATTAAATCGAAGATACCTTCTATAAAAATTATCGCGTTTTCAATAGAAACCAAGATCTGGTTTTCTTCTATTTACGATGCTTGATTTCTTTTCCTGCTTGCCATATTTCACTTGTTTTTTGTCTTTGCCGCATCCACCTCATATTCACACATGGTGTGTGAAATATCCGAAGTTCATGTGAAAATCGTCTTTCAGCTTATTTGGTCTGTCAAATGGCGCGAAACTATACAACGAACTGATCGGAGCTGCTGCCAAGATAATTTATATTTGCTTGCGCCAACATACACACTGTTGCTGCTTTCGCTGTCAAGCGTGCTAAGCCATAACGCACGTCGCGTAGCAAAACCAAATGGTCCACTACCACAACATTTCATTAAAACTCTTCTCCTTTTTATTTTTGTAGTTTTAATGTTTTTTTTCCGTTGTTCTTTTATTATTGCAGAGGCGTTCAGTGTCACGATACGTTGAATGGAGCTCAGTGTGATGCCTGTCCCATTGGCTATGAAGGTGATGGACGTAGCTGCACCAAACACAATCCCTGTGTGGATGGACCTTGTCCCTCTGGTAAGTAAACTTCAACGCGTTAAATAATGAAGGTATTCACAAGCTTGTTGTTGTTGCGCATGGTTGTTGTTGCTCATCGTTACTTGTACCAACTGTCAATTTATGATTTATTGTATTGGCAAATTTCATACTCGAAAGTCTTTAAAATGGACAATTTGAATTGCCATTCAAGTGGCGGGTCAGCAAGTATTCTCTCATTCACTTTTCACCTGAGGCGAGAAGTTTTTCGACACGGGTGTTAATTGATTTTTTATTTTCTCAAAATTACCACATACTCAGCTTTTTATGGGGCTAACTGCTAATATAACTAGTGCCCATGCCCATGGGTTGAGGCAGATTCACTTTTTAGTAGGCTGACATTTCCGACTTAAAACTAATTTATGTTTTCTCTTCTTTTGTTGTTGTCATACAGGAAACTTTGTAGTGCCAGTCCAAAGTGTTCAACAATATCAGCGCGAAACTAAATACACGCGAAAGTACTCAGCCCAGGCCACTTAAGTCGATGGTCAAATTCTAACTCAATAACATTGGGAATGTGGAACAAAATTTGCTCTGTACACATGCAGAAAATGTTGCACCAAATTAACACAGAAAATGGAAATTATGTATTGAAAAAGTATAATATTAAACATTTAATGTTTCTAAAAATAGTATTTAAAGTTATAATTTATATAAAGCTAATAAAATTTTTACATTACATTTTTATTAAAAAGGCTGTGTGTTTTAATTCAATTTGCTCTATCTTTATATTTTCCATTTTCTGGATTGATTTGGTATGCGGAAAACAATTTTTTTTTTTTAAATCACCTCACATCAAATGGCTTAGACTGCTAATTTACGTTTGGTTAGAATGGGAGTGCGCCTGAAGGGATATACAATTTTCAGGGAACTGACACTAAAGCCGGGAAAGTGGCTCATGCAATTCAACACTATTTGCTTGAATACTCAAATTACACTGCATCACAAATTTTAGTTTGGTTTTTGTTCTCAAGACGCCCTTATCCAATTTCTGTGTAGAATTGCTCGTTAATTCCGAAAATCGGGTTAATTTTTTTTTTCTATTGATATGTTTGAGATATTTTGAATCTACCGTTATTAAGCTCAAAACAAAAAGTGGTTGCACTTCTTCACGTATATCTTGCTAATAAAATTCTCCATAAACTATATTACATCACTTTCCGATAGGACTGATGATAGTTTCTGACAATATAATTATTCATTACATTTTTTGCATAATAAAAACATAGTAAGGTAAAACCGTTCGCTCAACTCGTCGGCCATGATTTTTTTTTTGAAGTTTGCCAAAATTTTAAAATCATATAAACTTGAGAGTAAAAAAAGAAAAATTGTTCAAAGTTGTTGTTGTTTGAGATTGAAAATGAGAATGTGTGTGTGAGTTTGTGTGTAAAATTTTAAAATTAAATTGCTTGCAAACGTCAAGAATTTGAAAAATACCTCTCAGCGGTTCTACCTTCCTATTTTTTTATCATGATTTTTTGTATATTTTTGAATGAAAAGATTAAAAAAAAAAATCAAGCTTTAACAGAAGAAAAATTTAAAAAGTAACAGGTTCTGTGCCAAATTTTTGCATTTGTGCTAAAGCCTGTTCTGTTAAAAAAAAATTACTAATGAAGAAAATCGATGGATAAATAAAGAAGTAAGAGTGGTCAAATTAAAATGCGTAAACACTTTTTGTATGAAATATGAGCAGTAAAGCGTGTTACTCAGGTGTACGTGGCGTATGAGTGACTTTCTTTCCTGTTAATTTTTTACAAAAATCTTTTCGTATTTTCATTTCACCACTCATTACATCTTCATTTATCCCTCGCTTTCCTTCATTAGCAACTTGATTTTTTTGTTGTAAAAGAACAGGCTTTAGCACAAATGCAAAAATTTGGCACAGAACCTGTTACTTTTTAAATTTTTATTCTGTTAAAGTTTTATTTATTTTGTAATTTTTTCATAAAAAAATAAAAAAAAAATGGAATGATAATTATATTGTCAGAAACGAAAAAATAAAAAAAAAACTGGAGTGATTAATTAATTTGTCAGAAATTATAAGTCCTATCGGAATGTGATGCATATACGGTTTATGGAGAATTTTATTAGCTTTAATTTGCCGTATTTTATATTAAGATTGCTAAATTGGTTCGTAAAATATACGTGATTAAAAGGAACCAATTTTGCTTTAAGCTGAATAACGGTGAATTGAAAATATCTGGAAAACGTATCCATAAAAAGAAAATTAACTCGATTTTCGGAATCACCGAGCAATTCTGCAAAGCAATTGGATAGTGGCATTCACAGAACATTTTTGCTGTAAACCAGTGTTATTTGTATAGGTTAATTCGGTAAATTTTTGGACTATTATATATATCGTCGGTGATACTGCAAAACGGTCTACGACAATCAGTTCCCGTGGAACTTAAATGGTATGTCACCTGCAAATCGTTACACTCTCATAAACTCTGTGTTCAAAAGCAATAAACGCTTAAGTCGACTTAAGAAACAATTGTCTTAAGAGCATATATGCTATCGTATTCTGGAAGTACTACTGCAGGCGTATGTCAAATCCTCATCACGGCAGCTGGACTATTAAACAGGCTGCGATAAAAAAAAATAAAAAAACAATCTAAAAGTTCAAAACATTTTTTTTCGCGATTCCATTGTCACGGGTGGGACATTTGTACAGATACAATGTTCTTTCTTGTTTAAATATAAGTATAAAGTATTCGACAATTCCATGTTTTGATAAAGCTAAGCTACACCTAACTGACTATTATATGAGTTATTACAAATTACGACAAAAATTCCAGCTTACTTTTATACGGAAAAAATTGGAGTTATTTCTTCTGTCACGGGTGGGACAAACAAAAAAGAACCTGCTTTTTGGAGCACACATATTTTACGAAAACTTTGCGAATTTATTTCACTTTTCTGTGTGAACTTGATGAGTTATATTAACGCAAGGAACCACGAATACAAACAAAGCAAAAACTACAACAAAAATTATGGCTTTATTATAAAAAACAAAAATGAAATTCCTCTATCACGGGTGGGACAACGTTCGTCACGGTTAGGACACGTACGAATTTTTATATCAAAAGGGGCTTTTAGTGTGGTACATATTAAAGATTAGTTATTAAAAAATATAAAAAGCCAAGTAGGAGTTCAATTCAGTCACAGTTTAACTTAGACTTAGGATAGTGCCTTTTATATAGAAGAAAATGCCTAGCACCGTCAGCCAAAAAAAATATTAAAAATAAAAGCTTATAAAAATCAACGTGATTTCCTAGCGTCTTGAAATGTTCACTTTTACCTACATAAATTCAATGGGCTATAAAACTAGGCACATACCTAGAATTTTTCTAAACACTTTGAACAAAAAGTTCCAATATTTTGGGTGTAATTGTTAGTTTGTTGAATTTTTATAAATTTTGTACGATTTATATGGTATGTAATGTGCTAGACTTTTAACTTTTTAACTTAAAAACTGTCCACAAGGGTATATAGGTAATGGGCGAGTCCGCGTTTCCCCCTTCTCCTCAACAAACAAATAAAGCTTACCAGCGCTGTAAACCTAGCTCTGTCAACTGTACCACACGTACACGGGTGGGACATGCTTCGGTGTTGAATTATTCTTATCTAACTATGTGGAAACGAAAATTCAATTGTGGTAAACATTTGCAATGAATTTCTAACATTATGCAACAAACACGAAACAAAACTTCAAATTCTGTAATTAAATATAACCACTTATAACTTTTTTTGCCAAGGAACTAGACCAATATTGCTTAATAATAACTCATAATATAAATAAAGATCTCACAAAATTAGTATATAACACAATTGTATTAAAAGCAGATGAGCTCTACCATATATTTTTCCTACCAAACACTTGAATCATGAATCGCAAAATATTTGACAGCACTTTCAATACAACCTACTTTAAACTCACCTAAAAAATTTACTTAGAACATGATTTAAAAAAAAGGAAAAAGGTAATAAAAATGCATATAAATTTTTAATTTGTTAATTTTTGTTTGATTAAAGAATTTTATAAACACGATCAGATACAGGTGACAGATTATTTTATCACCGACGATAGGTTAGATCTGATTGGTTCGAGGAGAATATCTACAAATGAACGCTATTCATTTATGTGTTAGTAAAAGGAATCAATAAAAAAAGATTAAAAAAATGTAATCCGGTAATGATACTTTGAGACAACTTAGAGATTACTGCATAGAGGAAATACTATCGATGTTATGTCTGCTGAGTGTTGAAAAATGGGAATTATATTAAAATAAAACGCTATGAAACATTCCCAAAGAGTACACAATACGAACGATACTTTCGGGAACATTTCTAAGAGAACAAGCTTCTGGAATGTTTTGCAAAGAGCAAAACGGGAACAAAAGTCTTAAGAACTTTCTTTCAATTAACAATTTGGGAACTTAAGTCTCAGGAAATTTCAGACAGAGAGCGAAATGGGAACAAATGGAAAGAAGCATAGCATTCCACTAGTTTGTAATGTTTAAATATTAAAACTAATCAACAAAGAACTGAAAGATAATTGTGCAAATAAAGTAAACGAAAGATTTTAGACATGAACTTATCTTGCACAAAAAATGAAACATTGTTCCATAAATGGACGATAAACGATCTGTAAGTTGAAATGATCACACTGAAACGATTTTTCATCCCAATACGAAGACGCCCCTCTTATTCAAATTTTTTTCTCCTTTTGTTCTCTAGCAGAACGTTCCCCATAATTTGGTTCTTATTTATTCCTCCTTAAAAATGTTCTCGATACTTTCTTATTTTGTTCTCATTGGAAACCTTCCGGCAGTTTTATTCTCATTCTGTTATTGCTGAGAACGTTCCCGAGAAAGGAAGCAAGAACACAATTTTTCCCATAGCATTCCACTAGCTTGAAATGTTTAAATATTGAAATTAATCAACAAAGAACTGAAAAATAATTCTGCAAATAAAGTAAACGAAAGATTTAAAACACGAACTCCTTTTGCACAAAATGAAATATTGTTCCATAAATGGACCGTTCCCCTTAACGAAAAACGATCTCACACGGAAACGATTTTCATCCCAACACGCAGACGCCCCTCTTATTCAAATTTTTTTTTCGTTTTGTTCTCTGGCAGAACGTTCCCCAGAGTTTTGTTCCTATTTATTCCTCCTTAAAAATGTTCTCGATACTTTCTTATTTTGTCCTCATTGGAAACCTCCCGGAAGTTTTGCTCTCGTTCTGTTCATGCTGAGAACGTTCCCGAGAACTTTTTTCCCATTTTGTTCTTTGCGGAAACGTTCCCGAACCTTTCTGTTCACTTTGAAACTGCTCACAAAGCTTTTTTCCTATTTGGCTCTTATATGGGAACGTTTTTGATATTAAATTTTTTTCTCTTGCAAAACTAAACCAAAACTGTAACGCGATCTCAATCCCTATTGTAAAGTAATCGTCAATCGTTTTTGATGTTATTTTACGAGTCTGCCAAGCATGCAAGACTTATATCTTCATCTCGAAGGAGGGACCCCTGCCCGACTCAGTATTGACTAAGCGCCACATCAGCTTTAAATGAAACACACCTCATACAACTCAAGCAACTTCGAATTTGAGGACGTAATTTACGGCCACCTGCGGTGTGCCTAGTTTTAAGCCCAGTTTCCGACCAACAAAAAAAAAAAATACAAGTAAAGAAGTATAAGTATCGGCGCAAGTATCAAATATCGTCGTTTCAACTTTCCCTGAACTACCGTTGCATGATAAGTAGGGATGTTAACCCGATTTCAAACGTTTCCGATAATATGCAGAGTTAGACTTAATGATATAATTGAACCTAGTTAGGTTCAAATCGATTAAGTGGTTACCGAGGTACACCTTTGTAGTTATGAAGTGGACGGTGCTACGACCAATTCCTAAAAGTCTATAGCAGTCTTATTTAATGTTAGGAGATTGTTGTAACTATTAACTTGGAGTAAATTAGCGTCCTCATTGAAATATCGGAGTTTTCGTATATCTGAAATTTACCGTTATACGCGAAGCAAGAGTAATTTTAGTCCGATTTGAACAATTTTCAACAAATTGCTTTTTCGTACCAAGGTTATTAAGTGCACCGAGTTTGGTAGAAATTGATAAATCGGTTACCGAGATACACAGTTGTGGTCATAAGTGGGTGGGCCACGCCCATTTTTCAAAAATTTATAATATTCTAATTTTATGCTAGCTGATTATTGCAATCATCGATTTTAAGTGAATTAGCTCCAGTAGTTCTGATTTATAGTGTTTGTGTAAATTACCGTTATATGGCAGGTGGGCATGGTTATTACCTAATTTCAAAGATTTTGAACAGACTTCTTAGCTAGACCCTACCCAAGCGTCGTACCGAGTTTGTTAGGGATTGGTGAAGCCGCTGCTGAGATACAGAATTTCATCATAAGTGGGCGCTGCCACGCCCATTTTCCAAAAATTTCATAATAAGATTATTTTTTACCATAATTCTACTCTACATACTATTTTTTTTGAACAATTTGCATCGAATTTTTACTGAAATATCGCAGTTTTTGCATTTTTCGAAAATATCGTTATGTGGGAAGTGGGCGTGGTTACAGACCGATTTCGCCCATTTTCAATACCAACCTAGCATAGATAAAGGGCAACCTGCACACCAAATTTCGTTGAGATATCTCATTTTTTGCTCGAGTTATCATGTACACGGACGGACAGACAGACATGGCTTAATCGACTCCTGTTTTCATTCAGATCGTTTATGTCTACATTTGTCTATATCTATCTGGATTCGTCTGGGCTGTTACAAACAACCGTTATGCGAAAAAACTCAATACACAATTATGAAGATAAAGAAGCGAACATATTAATCCCCAAAATTTTCCATTCAGCTTCTTTCTGAAAACTATCTGCGAATAAAGTGAAGAGACAATTAATTCTATTTTTCGCTGGCAGCTGATCTTGTGACCGGCAAAATTACAAATAAATTTATTCTCGTCGAATTTCGTCAACAAGCTTTTCCTTTGCTTCCGACGAAGTTTACTCAGCGTTTTGACTGTTCATAATTTTACCTTTGGCTTTTGCGATTGAAAAAAAACAGCAACGTTAAAATGGCACAGCAACAGATAAAAAATTTTGCAATTTACTATTTTAGGAGCACGGTTAGGTTAGGGTTGAGAAGTAAAACGAAACATTTTTACGGTTTCGGAAAAGGGATCACGCCAGATATGTGTTCTAAAACCTTAAAGAAGCAGATTACTGATAAGTAAGGCCCGGATTTTTATGCACTAAAAATCTTAATTATGCATTAAAAACAAACAAAATATGCATAAAGACTTCTAGCATTTGTTCTTCATCTTTTAACTTCTAATGCCACGAAATAATCAAATTTAATTAAATATATATCTAAAATTTTAAAATGTGCATTAAAAAATTAAGCACTTAAAGTAAAATGTAAAAAATTCTTTTATAATAATATAAGAATACATATTTTTTTCCATACTTTTTTTAATTTGCTTAGTTCTTTTAACTTTTAATGCCACGAAAAACACAAATTTAATTAAATATATATTCAAAATTTTAAAATAAGGATTCAAAAATTAAGCACTTAAAGTAAAAAGTAAAAAATTCAATAACAATAATATAAAAATAAAATTTTTTCCATATTTTTTTAATTTGCTTAGTTCTTTAAAATTATAGTTGAAAGTTAAAGCTTTCCTTATTTATTATTTATTATAATACTTCTAACAAGAAGCTGTAGTTTGCATTGTTATAGGCAAACCGTGCTTCAATCCAACTCGAAGCTATTGCTCTTTTCGCCTTCAACATTGAAGAATCCTAAATTAATTTTCGACGAAATCGGTACCTCTTAGTTGCCTGGAATCATCAAATGCTCTTGCGATTGTGGACTGATTCGTCCGTTCTAGACAAACGGCGTTTAATAAAAACATGCAATTAAATATGATTTTTGCCAAAATATGCCCATATATGCATTTAGGTCAAAATATGTAAGAATATAGACTAACAAATCGATGTCACCTTAACACAAAACTCTTGATTGATACGACTTACCAAAAAAATTATGTAAATGCATAGAAATCAGGGCCCTACTAATAAGTAATTGAAATGAAATCCACAAAATTTAATCCCTCTTTGCTTTCCATTACTTTTATTATCGCATGTGTGTATGTAGGTGTAGAGTGCGTTGAAATGGACTTTCCTCCCTACTTCCATTGCATACCTTGTCTACCCGGTACTCATCTAAACGGCACCAAATGTCGAGACATCAACGAATGCGACCTTTACCATCCTTGCGATCCGAAAACAGAGTGTATCAATTTGAATCCTGGGTTTCGATGTGAACCTTGCCCACTAGGCTTCGACGGAATTCATGGTAGAGGTGAGTGACCCGTCACAATTATTTTAAGCACTACTTTTATCTCTAGTCGACGCATTTTTCAGGCTTCTACTCCGAATATATTGGACCCGATTTTCGCAAGCAAACCTGCAATGATATTGACGAGTGTTCGAAAGGATTGGCTAATTGCCATGCGTATTCGGTTTGCGTAAATACGATTGTAAGATTCTTCTGCAAATATTAACGACTTTATCTGATAAAATAATTTTTTGTAGGGATCATACCAGTGCAAGTGTGTTGATGGGTATTTCTCCAATGGCACCAGCATTTGCTTACCTACATCAGACATGTGTCCAGACGGTACTATTTGCGATCACAATGCCTATTGTCATCTCGCAGATAACTTCAAGTACACTTGCAAGTGCAATGTCGGTTGGGCTGGTAATGGCTTCATCTGTGGCCGCGATCGAGATTTGGACGGATGGGTCGATTTTGACTTAAATTGCGCTGATATACGGTGCAGACGCGACAATTGTCCCGATTTGCCAAATTCCGGGCAGGAAGATGCAGACAATGATGGTATAGGAGATGGTTGTGACGATGATGCTGATGGAGATGGCGAGAAGAATGACCAAGACAACTGCCCTTTTGATTATAATGACAATCAGTCAGACTCGGACCATGATGGCGTCGGAGATGCCTGCGACAATTGTCCGTTTGTGCCGAATCGGAAGCAATTGGATTCGGATCGCGATGGCATGGGCAACGATTGCGACGACGACATCGATAACGATAATATTGCGAATATGTACGACAACTGCCCAACTATGCCGAACCCAAATCAGTCCGACGGGGACAACGACGGTATCGGTGACGCCTGCGATAACTGTCCGACAATACCAAATCCATCGCAGGAGGACAGAGATAACGATCTGGTAGGAGATGCATGTGACTCGGATATTGATGGAGATGACGATGGCATACAGGACAGCGAAGATAACTGCAACTCTATAAGCAATTCAGATCAATTGGATACGGATGGAGATGGAATGTAGGTCTTTGCCGAGATTTTGCACGAACGAGTTCTTTTTTAATTGTTTTTAATAACTTTTTTGTAGAGGAGACGCTTGTGATGATGACATGGATGGAGATGGGGTTCCAAATCATCGCGACAATTGCCCGCTGGTCAGGAATCCCGATCAAACAGATTTAAATCGTATGTTTCTGGACTTATCGCTTTAAGTGTATTATAATTAACTTTTACAACCAGGCAATGGAAAAGGTGACATTTGCGAGTACGATGAGGATGAGGACGGCACACCCAACTTCATTGATAACTGTCCGAACAACTCAATGATATATTCAACTGACTTCCGCACAATCCGTTCGGTAATACTCGATCCCGAGGGTGATGCGCAGCGCGATCCCAATTGGGAAGTGCATGCTAATGGCTCTGAGATTGTTCAAACTCTCAACAGCGATCCAGGCTTGGTGGTTGGACACGATGCTTTTGGTGGTGTGGATTTTGAAGGCACATTCTACGTCAACGATGACACAGATGACGATTATGTTGGTTTCATATTTAGCTATCAAAGCAACCGCAAGTTCTATGTAGTGATGTGGAAGAAAGCCGCACAAACTTATTGGGAATCAACGCCTTTCCGTGCTTCATCAGAACCTGGTATACAAATCAAGTTGGTCGACAGCATCACTGGACCTGGCTCAATGTTGCGTAATAGCCTTTGGCATTCGGGCGATACACCGGATCAAGTCAAGCTGCTGTGGAAGGATCCATTGAATGTGGGTTGGAAGGAGAAGACTTCCTATCGCTGGTCGCTGGTGCATCGACCGGCTATAGGTTTGATTCGCTTGAGGTAAACAGTTATCTCTGTCCCATGGTTTCCCAAAGCTCAAAACATTATTAAAATTTCAGAATGTACGAAGGCGAACATTTAGTCTTGGACTCACACAATGTGTACGATTCCACGTTAAAAGGAGGACGCCTCGGAGTTTTCTGTTTCTCACAAGAGATGATTATTTGGTCGGATTTGATATATAAATGCAACAGTACGTAGTGTATTTTCTCTCAGATTTCAACCACTTTAAATTATTATTATTTTTTTAATATCATTTAAAGCGCGTGTTCCGGGTCTCATTTACAATGAATTACCACATACACTGAAGCAGAGAGTGGAAGTGGACAGATAGGTGCTGCGTTTGGTGAAAAATATGTCAAGATCATAGACGTGCTAATGTTGGACTTATTTGTGCTTTGATGTTAGTAAATACTCTATTGCTTTGTTGAACGTATGTATTATTACTGGCACCTTATATGCATGTACCATTAGTACTCGGATGTCCTTTTTCTAATACTCCGATAACTGAAAATATTTTTTATGTTACAATAGGTCACAATGTAAGTTAAGAAGATGACTAAATAAATTATTAAATACTTTTTTTATAAAATACTAAAACCGTATAACAGCTACTTTTTTATTTTCAAAGATTGCTTAAATTTTTTGTTAGCAGGACGAATCTTGAAACATTTTTCAGTTATCCCTTTTGGAATTGGGTTGAGAGAGAGAGAGACGGTTTGTCTCGAAATCAAAAGGCAGAGAAGAGATCAGTTCCAAACTATAAATGTTTGTATGTATAATCTTATCACCTTTTCGGAGGAATCCAACCAACATCCACAAGTTTTTTTATCACTATATGAAATCAATGACTGGTATTCGTCGTCTCCGTCTATCGAAAAAAGGTTGCTCTTCTTCATCTTGATTAGCGCTGTATGAGCTTAACCGATTTTGATCTGCCCCTGCTGGCACAAATTGGAAATGCGAAAAGAAGCCAAGTTCTTCTCCACCTGGTCTTTCCATCAGATATTTTCATCCTCCATGCCCCGGCGACATACATCAGCACTGGCATGACGAGTGACTTATAGAGTGTGATTTATAAATGTACGAAGAGGGAGGACTTTACTTGTCAATCGCCTACTCAGTCCAAAGTAGCACTTGTTGGAAAGAGTTATTCGCAAGTCGTAAATTAGGTAATATTTTACGACTCGACAACATTGGCATTGTCTACTGTCGTGCTGAAACAATTAAATGATTAAAATCGTCGAAAACTGTACCGTGCTGCCAAGTTTTTCCGTTTTAATGTAGTAGTCGAGTGGAAATTTTAGGCAATGACGCGAAATTTTCGATACGATTCGACTCTCGAGAAACGACTCTCGCAAGGAGGGTGATTATTATTGACATTAATGCTGGTTCCAAAATAAACCAAGTAGTATCCTTTTTCACACTTTTAACTGTTATCGTAAAGAAACTACATGAGAGACAGAGTCACCTTTTCTAAACCCTCGTTTTGCATCATATGGCTCAGAAAGACCCTTCCCAGAGTCATTTTACACAGCCGTCATAGTTTCCCAAGTATACCAAATTCAGACATCGTTACGTGCTATCGATATCGATTCTATTCTTGCGAGCCTTTTCTAAGATTTTGCATATTGTGATTACGTAATCTATGGTGAAATTTCTGGGTCTAGACTCACACAGACAATGCCCAATCAGTTCGTTGACGGTGTACATCAGTCTTTCATACAATACGTTCGATAAGACCCAGCAACATATCTTTAGAATGCTGATCCCACGGAAGTTTGTGCGTATGGCGCAAGTGGAATCCAGTTGTCGGGCATGCGTTCATCTGACCATATTCTGCATAAAAGATGATGCATGCACCTTATCAACTCTTCGCTGCCGTACTTGAATATCTCGGCTAACAGGCCGACAGCTCCAGCAGTTTTATGGTTTTTCAGCCCCTTAATTGCTACTCGTACCTCTCCATATTCAGGTGGTCAGTCCTTTCTCAATGACTTGGGTTTGGGTTCGTTTTCTCCACTGTTTTGATTGCAGCTACCATTCAGTAAGGTTTATAAGTGTGCCCTCCAAAATTGGTGGTACTTACTGGAGTTCGCCCTGGTCTTGAAACCTTCCCTAAGTCGCCTATTATAAACAGCCCAATTCTGAATACAATTTTTCTTCACTCCCTGTCATCTTATTCTGAATAAAATTTTCCGGGGATTTTTTTCCTTCTTCTCTTTCCTCCTATCATGAACAATATTCTAAAAGGGGAAACCCTGTTTGGGAAAGATTTATCTATCACGAATGCAGGAAAAAGGGAGAACGTGATGGCAATCTCAAATAAATGTTCCCAAAGCATGGGAGCGCTAAGCAAACATATAAGAATGTGCACCTTTTTATTTAAAAAAAATTTAAAATCTACATATGTTTTTAACCCAAAAAGAAGAAATAAGCAGCAAATTGAAATTTCAATAACTTTAGTGTAAAGCAATGTTGCCATCGCTCGAGGATGAACAGGGAGTGAATTCAAGTCGGATGGGCCACGGACTAAAAGTGTTGCGAAATGGAAGAAGGTAACTATGGTCAATTAGAATTTGTTAAACAGAGTAATAAAAGTATTATACTTCAGGTGGCTACTCTGCAATGCGATACGAAAGAGCAATCTACATACCAAATTTCGTTGAGATATCTCAATTTTTGCTCGAGTTATCGTGTACACGGGCAGACGGACAGACGGACGGACATACAGACATGGCTCAATCGACTTCTCTTTTCATTCGGATCATTTATGTATACATTTGTCCATATCTATCTTGATTTGTTTTGACTGTTTGACCCGTTATGCGAACAAAGTTAATATACCCTTGTGCATAACTGCGCTCGGGTATAAAAATTATTATCCGTTATGGGGCTCCTTAGTAAAAAAGTTATTAATTTCAACGAGTGTGTATACTTTTATTTATAAGCGTATTGGGGAATAGATATGGAAACATGTTCACAATTGCGTTCGTATTCCGGTGAATAAACATATACAGACCTGTTCTGCATTTCGACTCGACTTGAAAAGTAAAACGACACACATCCCGACTAATTTTTGTGGTGGTGTTCTCAATTCCGATTGAGTTCGAATAAGTTCGAAATCGTTTTCGAATCGTTTTCATTTCGATTCGGTAATAAGTTGCAACAGCTGTTGTCAGTTATTTGTGTAAAAATTAATTCAAATCTGTATAAAACTGAAAAAATGCCAGTGCCAATGATTTTTGGGTGTGCCCAAACCAGAAGACTTGCTATTGCACGCCCAAAACGAAAAAATTCAGCTAAGGACATGTTCCAAAAGTTGGACTCCAAGAAAGTTTACCCTTCAATGTAATTTTCTTTATCTAACTCGATCTGTAGATAACTTTTAGGTTTATAGGATCTTATCGCATAAATAGAGATGTTTTCAAAATGCTGTTAGACAAAAACAAAAACAAAATTGGTTAACGGAGAGGCATCGTTTTATTTGACCGAAACGCAACTGGCAGCCACACTCCGGTTTTTAGTAACAGGCTCCTATCAGTTGGGAGTAGCTAAAGACCAAGATATAACATTGGCAGAAGCACTTTTTCTAAGGCATTGCATTTTGTAATACAGGAGCCGGAGAGCTGCAGAGGAGAGCGAAAACGATCATCAGGCGATTGTAGATGGAGAGGAAATGAGGGATGAAGTTCCCCGCAGTTTACAAATAAAAATTTTTGCATTTTTTAAACACATAAATAGTCACTCGCACAGAAATGTTCGTAATTTAGTTTTTTTTACAATATTCAAAATATTTTCCATCATGGTTTATTTTTGTTTTAAATAGCTCATTCTATAAAAAAAAGCCATATAAATCAATCTTGCAAACTTTGTACAAAATTCAGAAAAATTAATGAAACTTTTATCAAAACTTCAAACTTTGTATTTAGCGTTTTTAAAAAATTTTCGAGTATGCAGTTTCGTAGCCCATTCAATTTTAGTATAACGAAGTGCACGTTTCAAGTACCCAAAGATTAACGTGGATTTTTTAGATTGTTTTTTTTTCGAAGCTTTAGCGCATTTTCTTCCATACAAAACGCTTGTGAACTTTGTGCTCATGCAAGCGCCTTGGCATATGCAACGTCTTTGTGCCCATTAGCACAATATGGAAATTTTCGATGAATACTGCGCATGCGCTAAAGCGGAATCAAGAACAGGTCGGTTTCATTACGATCGTTTTCGCTTTATTTGGCTAGGTAGTTTTTAAAGAGCAATTTTCAGATACAGATTTATCAAAGTATTTGAATACAGATTAGAGCAATAACGACTTATAAATTCTCTCAATATCATGAAAATTCAATAGAAAATATTTGGCGGACAAACTGCATATATATTTGGGTTTCCTTAGCCAATTACTTTTCATTCCGACTAGCCAAAGTGCAAACTTTTCAAATCGAAAAAATTTGGTCGGAATCGAAATCAAGAACACCAATGCATTTCGATTCCTAAAAATTTGAACGGAATCGAAATGCAGAACAGGGCTGATAGAATGCACTCGCGACAACATGAACTAATTAAAACCAAGGGAGTTTATGTTTAGGAAATGGTTCATGTTCAATACTCCCACCCCAATAAATAAAAGCTTGTGTAACACTATCTTTAAGAACTTAAGTACTTTCTTTTTTTGCATCAAGTACGATGCGGTAGCGAATCACTCGTCTTTTTCATTTGCAGAAGCACTTCACGAAAGGCAAAAATAACCACGTAATTTTTGTTCACGTTACATCAGTGTTAAAAGAGGGTGTTTACGTCAAACGGTGCTCACGTAATTGCGATTGCACTGTACTTAGTATGTACATTGAGTTGATATGATTTCAACTACATATTCATAATACACTGATCCGAATTTTGATAGAAACCATAATGAGCTCAATTAAATGTAGCCTATTTAAACCGTATTTATCATTGCTCATACGACTAGGTGTACAAGGGGATTGGGGCCACCAAATGCAAGTGCAGGCACGACGTGTTCGTGCAAAACACAAATAAACAATTGAAGCAAAAAAGTAGCTAAGAACAATTTTTAACATTCAAATCGGTTGTGAAAATGCGAAAGCCATCAAAATATATCAAACATTTCATGGGTTCTCAGAATATCTAAAAAGTATTTATTGAAGCTGCAACGCCTCATACATATGCACATTAGGGTGCCCCGTTTAACAGTTTTTTAAGCTACACTATCGCAAGAGGTACCAAAATTTGCGTAATTTTACGCTTGTCAAGAAAAAGGTAAAAAAAATCAGAATTGTGTATTTTATATTGAAAAAAAAAAACTTTTTCATAAAAGTGGTATAGAATCCTAGGAAATCAAAATTTTTTAATTAGAGAACCCTTTTTCTTTTTATGAGACTTCAAGGAATGACACCTAATTTTTTTAATATTAACGATATTTTATGGTCCCCCCCATTGCATTTTTTGGGTTTTTGGGGGACCCATAATAAACTATACATATTAGTATTAAAAAAATTGGTATTATTCTATTCTATTATAATGCTGGATTACCACTAGGCATTAAATTCCAAAAATGACAAATGACAAAATCGGGCATTAAAAAA